TGTAATTATTAGTGCTAGTTCTAACCACCTGCACCGGCTCAAATTACCTAGACAGGACATAAAGTTTAGCAATTCTGTTCCACCATCTTCTGCATAACAGTTATTTGCACTGGAACAAATTCACCAGTTAAATATAAGACACACAGATCTAAGAGTAGATTGAAGCAATGTTGCTTATCCTAAAACTTAGAGGCAAAAAGCCTAACAGACTTATGAGATGGTCATATACTATCTACAAGTCAAGACAATACATTCTTTTTAAAAAGTTGTTTGAATCTTTTTTTCCCCTCCTCAGAAGAGCATGGAACAGAAATATATCTTTTTGGAAGTTCTCTAGCACTGATTAGCGAGATTGATGGAACTCAAGGAAAGTTTCTCAAATTTTATACAATTATCAGAAAATTCTGAGGACCTTATGTCACATTTGAAAAGGGATGTGACATATATCCAAAATCACTTCAGTCTCCTCCCTTAAAAACAATTGTTTTCCAGATTCTGCTCTGGAATAAACTACTTTCATGAAATACTTTTCTCAATAATTTAAAATGTTCCTTCTTCCCTTTTCCATCTTTTTCACCTATGGATTTTTCCATAAACAAAAGCCTACCAAAATTTTAAATATTATAAGCTTGAAATATCCCATCCCATCAATGCAATACATAGTAAACCTTGATTGCTGTCCAATGTGCTGAAATTATTCATATTGGTTTGTTCAGGCAGTAAGATATGAATTTAATATTCCTGATTTTAAAAACTAAATTTTTAAATGAACAATTCAATATATATTTATTTATAGTTTAGATAAGATTTAAAATTCTTTTGATGTAAATTAAGGTACATATTTCAAAGTTTGCTGTTCTTCAAATCAATTCAGATCTTATACGATTCATTCAGATTTATTCTACTCAACATTCTATCAAATGAAAAAAAAAATCCAAATGTTTTATCAGTATTTTATTATATTACCCAAAATATTTTAGACATGTACTTTCTTTTTAAGTCTCAAAAAAATTTCCCCATTCTTTTAGTAACTGTTGAAAAGGATTAAAAATCTTAAATGCTTTATGTTGGGAAATCTAAATAAACCATTGTTCATACACCTATAATTTATCCTACATTATGTAACTTTTGGAGTACTAATACTTAACTCCATTTAATGCAATTCCATCTCGCAAGTTAAGATAAGAGATAATAACTCTCAACCCCCTTTATTACTTTTCATCATTTCCTTCTGCATGGTAGGTAGCTAAATTATACAAATTCTTGAAGTATAATTTCTTATGCTAAGTTTTGGAAAATTTAATTTTCAGTCACCAAGTCCAAATGCAAAATATAAATGAACAGCCATATTTCTTAGGGAAGCATTTGGCTGAATAAGTCTTGTACAGTTTTCAGACTACTAAGACCTACAAACTTTCCAATCAGTATTTTATATGCAAACTACATCATTGTATTATTCACATTGGTGAATTTTGTTAATATTCATGTACCAGAATATATATTATTTACTTTTCAAAAGACACTTTAAAGTGTTCAATCTACAGTAATTGATGTTTGGTCTCATTATTAAGCCAAACAGTTAGGAGAAAAAAATGTTGCAGTTCATAAAAGAGCAGCAATTAACATTTTCTTATTTCAGCTCCATCAAAGGATGTTCTACATTTTGCAAGAATAATAAACAGCACACATATACAAACACACAGAAACACAATGGGTTGGGGGAGGGAGATCCAAAAAAAGAGCGAGAGTACCAAGAGAGATAGAATATGTGCAAAACTTAAGTGTTCATTAAATAAAGTTAAGCACAACTATTTTGAGTATCAAATTGTTAAAATGGTTATGTTTAAGAGTAAGTTGAAAACTGCATGGCAAAGATGGAAACCTAGTGGGGAAAGGGTACAGAGTAGCTTAGATTTAAAGGAAACTTACCCAGGAGGTTTCTCAATGAAAAGATTTTTAATTTGAGACAAAAGTTTTCTAAGAAAACAATCTAATCTTCATGGAAACACACATGATAAATTTTATTCTCAATTTCTTCAGATCACAGTAAGTTCCATTAGGCTATTCAACATTCTTGAGAAAGTAAGCAAATGCCTTTGTTTGGGGACATAACACCTCCCCAGGCTTATTGTACAATTTTCATAATCCAGGTCTATGGTGACTGGGATTTTTTGGGAGGTCAATATATTTTAATGGCACCAAGTTAGAGAAAGCAGTTTAGAGCATAATCCAAGCATTTTCAGTGTAAAAGATTTATTTGGAAGACAAATTTATGTGGAAAGAATTTCCTGATGATACAAGTTTAAGAGCAATTAGAAAACAGAAATCTAGATTAGGCCTTCACTTAAAGACAGGAATGACAGGAATATTAATATATTCCCTTTTTATGATATATATTTTAAGAGCATGGAAACGTGAAACGGAACAGTGACAATGAGATCATTTATGCCAATGAAAACATCGTGTTTTAAATTGGTCAAGCTGGAATCTACTGATGTCACCCAAATAACGGAAGACATTGGAAAACATGCCTATGGACGTTCTCTTTCATCCAGGTCAAGTAAAGGTGCTTTTTAAAAAAGCAACTGGATTTTGTTTTTCCTTGAAGACATTTTGCTTCTCATCACTTCTTCAATTCTGACTGAATGGTGGAGAAGGGAAGGATTTATAAATAAGGAGTATAAATCTTTCTATCTTCCACCATTCAGTCAGAACTGAAGAAACTTCTTGGATGATGACCAAAATATCTTCAAGGGAAAAAACCCAAGAAAGTCCAGTTTCATTTAAAAAAAAAAACACCTTTGGAACAATAAAAAAAAAAAGAATCTCAAACTATGTAGCCTCAAGCATATTCCAATAAGAGTTTGAAGGGTAAGAATGAAGCAACTCATCAATTTTCAATTATAGTTCTATATTAAAATAAGAGCGCATAATTTTATTTAAGCATTCTCTAAAACAGTTAAATACAATGCTCTGTTAAAAATACTCCTCTGTGTGAGACAGCATGAAAAAAGACTCTAAACCTGCAAATATAAAGAATAAATTGAGATGCAGCTTAGAAAATTGTGTAAGGTAAATTATAATCTAGCTTGAATATGATTTCTTTGTCTTTGAGGGTAGAAAGGGGCTAATTCTCTGAAAATGTGGGAGTCAAGATTTTGGCATCTTTTAAAATAAAGGATGTGTAAAGGCTTTTTATATTCCTGAACTAAACTTAATTCTAGATTGAAAATACAAAACATTCTCTATTCTTACTGATATTGTACAGGCATCTTTGTAGTTCAGTGGGTAAACAACTGAACAAATAAGAAATTCAAAACAGCATATGATAGTCTTGTCACACATTTCTTTATGGATGAAGTTTATCAAAACTTGTCATTCCTACAAAAAAGAATAGCATTAATTTTCAAAGTTTTGTTGTATTATATTTCTAAATCTTCCTGAACTACTTCTGCTGTTCCACCATAAGATCATATAGTATATTGTATAGTTATACAAGCAGCCCAGGCTTCCCAATTAACTACCACCAACATCCCTTTCAAAATAAAATGAGGAAGAATTTTTATTTGAGGAATGCTCTAGTGTCCCATATTTTAATCAATACTAATTTTACGAACCTCATACAGTTTACGTGTATCAAGTTACTTATGTAATTTGTAATTACATATTACCTATGTAAATGTATGGTAGGGTATTAATTTTTATTCAATCAGGATCAAATCTGTATAATTGTTTTATTAATGGCTTCTTTCTTAGATACTCTTTCCTTTAAAGTTGATTCTCAGTAAACAAAACTCTGATATTTTACAATCATCAGTACTTTTTCAATATCATGACTATACTTGGTCTATCTGGAGAAAACAGCTTTTTTTTTTTGAGAAACGTAAGAATATTTGTAGCTGAAAACAGGACTCATAATCTCTACATTAGTAACAAGCCAATTGGCAGTTAAGAAAATTTAAGTCATGAGTCAGTAAATCACCTATTTTATACTAGCAGCATAAATTGCTGTCTGGGATTGACAAATAAATCATATAAACTATGAAAAAGTGTTATAAAAAGGACACCAATAGAAAACCCATGAAATCTTCCTCTATTAAATATTTCCATTTGTTTAATTCTCCGTCACATTCATTCACAATTGAAAATGTATGTTAAAGGTCAACTGGGAATGTTTACAAGACAGCATAATTTAAAAAGGCAAGCAGCTTCGACTCCTCTCCACATATAGTATTAAAGCCTTCAACCTGAACCCCGTTTATAAATTCACTGCTACAAAACATGCTTTATTTATAAATATGTCCTACTATACAGTGAGAGGATGAGGGGGGGGGGTCTTTTTTTTTCTGGAAAAGAAACGAAACAATGGGATGAGAAAAAAAAGGGACAACTCGGAAGAATAATTGTGCATTTCAGAAAATGTGGTCGACTGATGCTATTGCTGTCTGAAGATATTTTGATACAATGAAGATATTTCGATAACAATGAAGATATTTCGATACAATTCTCTTTCGAGACATTTCCCCTAGTCTATGGAAGAAGATGCTGGGTTGACTTTGAGCATGCCATCTAAAAAACACAAGAAAGAATAGCCTCTATTGTTTGCAGAATCAATGGGCTGTTTCTCCTTCTGTGTGCCCCGCACCCCGCTTTCCTGCAAAAGCGCCCTTTCAAAATGTACAAAGCTGACAATTCACATTTGTTTTTTTTTTTAGCGTTGGTCCCCTGCGCAAGTGTGGCTTATTGCTCCCCTAATGTGGGGAGGGAGTTTGCATTTGAGAAGCCTCTATCAGGAAAAGGGCAACCCAAACCAGAGAGAGCATTTCAGCACACTTGCACAACCCGCCTATTGGGTTAAGAAGAGATCCATCTCCATCCTAATCCTTCCTGTTGAGTCAACAGGGATGGTTCCACCTCCTCCCTCTCGCCCTTTCAACCACGAGTTGTCCCTCAGCCAAAAACCAAGGGCTCCTTGTTCCTCCTCCTCCTCCTCTTCTTACCTCGACTTCCCTGTTCTTCTCTTTGTTTCTACCTATGGAACTTCTCCCATTGCTGGTCGTCTCCTGCGCTGGGATTACCGAGATCCGCCGGAGAGGCATTGGGACCAGGCGGCGGGTTGCCCAAGCCTGATTGGAGGACGCCTTTCGGATTTACTCCCTCTGAGTAGCAGCCCACCTGGAAGACTGTTCATATCCTCGCGTCGCCGAGAGTTCCCCCCCTCACTCCCGCGGTCCTTGGGCGGTGGGGGAAAAAAAAAAAGACAAAAATAATAATAATCGAAAGAGCGATTCCTGTGAAAGGGGAAAGGAACGGGAAGCCAAGCCGCCGCGAGTCGCCCTTGGCCCCGCGACTTGGCAGAAGAGCTCGGCCCACGAAAGGCAGAAGTAAATACTCCGGGAGTTTTGAAAATTCTCCGAAAGGCGCAGAGTTCCTCCGAGTCGGAACTCCGCAGCTTTTAGTCACTGGAGCCACCTCTTCCCCACCCACCTACCCAACCGCCATCCCTTTTTCTCCAGAGCATTGTGGGAGAGACGATTTCAAGGTCTCCGTTACCTAATAACTGTCATGGAAACGGGAGGCGCAGCTGGGTCTTGATTAAAAAAAAAGAAGAAGAAGAAGAAAACGAAGAAAAAAAATAAAATAAAGGCGTTTCTTTTCCTCTCACGGCTTCTCGGGCGCTTCCATTTTTTTTTTGTTTATTATTATTATTTTTGCACCGTCGTTTGAGGGACTCCTCTCTCCTCAGAGAGAGAGAGAGAGCAGGCCAGCCTCAGCCCGTCTCGGCCGGTCTCGCCTGAGGCGCTGGCGCTGCCTTATAAGTAATCAAATTAAGGGCAACCGGCGAAAGGCGCTTAAGCGTCCTATTTTGGAACCAAAGCTCTTTCCCCCTCGCCCTGGCCTTCCACATCATAATCTCCTTAGGGTTCAAAGGGAGCTTTGCCCCGAAGCCGGGGGAGAAAGGAACGCTTCAAACCTAAAAGAACATAAAGTGGTTGTCGGCGAAGGGAAAAAAAAATAAAAATAAAAAGAGCAGCAAATTGCAAACGAGCCTCCCCGGGGCTAACCAGTAGGGGAGGGGAAATAGAATAAAAATAAAAATGAAAAAAAAAATTAACCCTTTCCTTCCGGCCTCTTCAGCAACAGTAAAATAAATAAATAAACAAAAAAATACAATAAAAGTTAAAAAAAAAAATAAAGGACGTTGCCGCTTTCTGGGCATTTTTGAAGAAGGGGAGTCCATGACAACAAGAGAAACGGGGGCAACGCAGTTTTCACCTTGCTGAACACTGAGGCGATTCAAGGAATTTCCACAGGGCAGCATAGTGCCTGGTTTTTTGGGTTTTTTTTAGGGATTTTTGTTTTGTTTTGTTTTTTTGCACTGAATGGGATTCTAATTTGGTGAATTTCAAATCCCGCTGATGCTGGGACAGTAAAGGCCAATGGCTTTTCCCTGCTACGGCAGGGCACCTGGGTCCCTTGATAGACCTTTCCTTTCTGTCATCTATACCAGAGGTCTCCAACCTTGGCAACTTTAAGACTTGTGGACTTCAACTCCCAGAATTCTCCAGCCAGCAGAGCTGGCTGGAGAAT